CATACCACAAGTTCTTATTTTTTAACAACAAAATCACTTTGCAAATTGTGCAATCCAACAGGGGTCGATGCCATTTTTGTGGCAACAGACCCATATGAAGGGAACAAATGAAGATCCCAAAAGCTGATAGGAAAGAATTCCCACACAACTGAAAGCTGAAATGCAGACTGAAGGGTATGTCCAAGTCGATGTGCTAAATACAGACCCTTGACAGAGGATCATTCAAGGTTACAAGGCAATACAGGCTGTGGGGTCCTACCTACCTGGCTTGCACTTTCACTTGCGGTCACTTAAGCATGCCTCTAAATAAAATGCTGATGTTCCTTGTATAGCTAATGGGAGATAAGTATCTTTCAAGGCCCTCAAAAGGACATCCTCCCTGACCAAGTTCAGAATTGTTTACTGGGCAGCCAAGATTTCCTTTTGGGGGTCTTCAGAGTAAACTACCTTTTTTCCATCAATTATACAGGGAAGAAGGGCATTTCATTTGGGGGACATACTCCCTTTTTACCCTCTCCTTAGCAGAAATAGTAAAATGTACATTCAGGTTTAACTCCATGGGAAAGCAGATCACCCCTGGCTTATAAAGGTCTCACGGTAAAATGTTTAGGTAGGTTTCTAAAGAAACTAGGCATGACTGAATCAACGACCAGACATTCTTCTCGCACAAAACAGGGACACATCACTTTCTCTACTGCAGCTCAAACCAGACTGAGTGATCAAAGTGTCATTTTTGCCATATATAAACACAATGTGAATGTCTCCCATTGAGATTTTAATGTCTCTAACTGGCTGTGTTCCTGGTTTGCTACCTGAGAAATGGGGTAACTATTATTTTCTTGATTTCATAGTGTGCTTTGAATTTCGTGGACAAAAGTACTGTTCTCGGCACCACAGTTACATGCTCATAAACCACTTGCAAAATGCCTTTCTTTAGAAGGACATGATACAGCTAGCCACGTCATTGATTTTTCAGTACAATCCTTTGAGACTTTTGCCCTCGCCTTTCACATTGAGATTTATTTTCCAAATTTGTCCTGGTCACAATGCTGTCAGTAGCTAGCAGGACATTCCCCGTAGGGAAATAAAGATTATCAAAACCAAACTCAGTGCCCCCTCAATCCTATTTTAATATTCTAAACAAAATCCTGAAGCCTGATTTTTAATTTTTCTCTCTTCCATGCTCTTTCAAACATGACTACTTCAAAAATCTTGACGAGTACATACACTGATAATAACAGAAACAATATAATAACAGGGACGTGACCAAAGTGTTTCCCAGGTAATTCTAAATGGCAGTTCTTATGACGCTTGGCAAACTTTTTAATTTCCCAGACAGAACAGGTAAATAATAAAAGGCATGAACAAAATACTGTCGAGTTACAGTTTTGTCAGGTAATGTGCTTAGGCTTTGCTGTGACTGTGATTAAATAATACAAAGAGCATTCCATGCAAGGTACTGAGCTAAAACAATTCTTTAAGAGAGACATTAAAGCGAATCTGCTCCTCCACTTACCAGTGACCTCCCGAGGTCCCTTCTACTCCTATTTTCTTTAATTCCATGTTTAGTTTATGTATGTCTCTACAAATATCTTTTGTGACTAGGCGTAGCATGTTTGTAGAGTCCAAAACATCTTTTTAAATGCACTATACAGTAAATTTACATTTCTGTAAAGACATCTTAAAGCTATTTTACAACTAATAACAATTGGGAGCCTGGGTATTTGTTGGAGCTTAGTGGGACTGATTACCTGTCTTTATAAAGCCAAGAGACTATTGACATCTCTGATCACAGGAGAAAGGCTTTGGGCATGGAAGTTTCCATAACTTTTCCATATATTTTTAAACATTTGTGTCATGGAAGAGACATCATATAAGGGGACATTTTTAGATCTTGCCAAAGGCCTGAAACTATCAATTTTTACACTTTTTTTTTTATCCCCCTTTTTTTTCACTTAGTTGCTTGGACAGGTGTATCCAGTTTTTCCACTAAGTTCCTCATATCGCAGGATATTTTTTTATATGCATATCAGCATGCATAATTACAACAAGGTTTATTCTATCCAATACACAACAAAGGTAAGAAATTAAGAGAAATTCCTCCCAAGCATTTGAATTCTATTTTTAGCACTTCAATTCTGCTATAAAAATTAGACATCAGTTCCTATGATAATAAAGATTGGAAAAAGTTTTCAGTCCAAATTTAATCTATTAAAAATTGACCTACCTATAAAGATTTTCTACAAGAAGCAAGGGAAAGGCAAAAACCCTTTATGTACCCTGATGTGTAAAAGAGAAATGCCTTTAAAGAATACTGAGAGCATGTAAAGGATAATTATTCTTCTTGCCCATTTTCATATTCTTATTCAATGTCCCAACTGCAGTTACCACCACCAGAATTTGCTTCAGCGAAATAAAAGCTGCAGCCAAGACCTGTAGCCCAACTCTTTAACAGTGAGGATCTTACTGAAAAAAGTAGTTTTGTTCTTGGTGAAAGATGAGGTCCCAGTTACACAATATTATAATATATCCTAGTTTCATTTTTCTGGGAAGAATATATTAATACTCATTAACTTGAAGCTGAAATGAGGCATCAGAAAACATTACATAAATTACAGCTAAGTGCATAAATAAAGGATTTGCAAACAAATTTATAAGCTTCAAAACAAATTTTGAGCTTCATACAGATGAGCAGATAAACTTCCCTACAGAGATGCTCTGTAGCGGATGTAAGAGGCATTTGCATTTTCTGACCAGACAGTTGGTGTACTCTAAAATCAGTGCTGTGCTAGTTTACACCAAGGTTTGGTCCATGTATCCAAAAGCATCCATGAAGATTATGATCACCACTGTGTCACAGTTTGCATACATATGGAATACTGACAACCTGAAGCCCTTACAAGGAGAAAATTTCTACTGATGTTAAAGTTTTATCTGATAAGGATTTAAAAATCAGATCAATGGCAATATACTATTCTACTAACTGTAAGTGTGGGCATATATAACATACATTCAAATGTGGCATGTAGGCAAACCCTAGAGACACATCTCACCTATCCAGCATGATGTTACAAGGTACGTGAAAAATAGGACTGAATAAAATAGTATATAAGAATTCATCAATCTTTCAAGTCTCTCAAACCATGGAATTAGTATTACAACAGTTTCTACTGCTGAAAACTTGTAGGACAGACTGAAAAGACGTTCAGGAGAAGAACAGAATTAGGAGAGCAGAAAGGCGATGACTTGTTCAGACGAGTTCCTGCAATGCGATGGCAAGTTGGGGCATACACTATTTTTCGGCATTGCTAATGAACTGCGAAATACAAAAGATTTATCTGTGTGCTGCCTGGGCTAATCAAGGGTGATGCTGGAAGAGACAGGGTTGTCTCAACCCTGAGAAACACCAAAGCTGCCACCACAGGAGTTACAGCTAAACTCTGAGATGACATGCTTCCAAGATTTCACTCTCCACTCTCTCTTAACTCATCCCAGCCTACTACATCTTACAGCTGCAATCATCCTGGGTGAGGAGAGGTGACCTACAACCAGGGACTTTGAAACTTCAGTGATCACAGAAGTGATGGAAGAAATTCTTTAAACTCCGGCGCTTGGGAGGTGGGGTTGCTGTGAGCTATCATCTCCCTCACCGCGGTCAGTGTATTCTTAACTAATCCCTGCATCGCCTGGACATGCTCTTACAATACCTCTCACTATTTAGATGTCTTGGTGGGCTCCCTGTGTCTTCTCACTCTGATTGCTGAGTGAAATCCTAATAAGAAATTACATTCTTGCCTCAGCATACAACAGGCTGCACACACGTCAGCAAGCACACAAAGATGACACGGCCCCCGCGTTTCAGCTGATTTACCCAATCCCTAGCAAAACCTGTTGCCCTTTTGAGGTAAAATGTATTTCTCTATTATGGCACATGTTCAATATATACAGTTACACAACAACCAAAACAAAAGTGTCCTAAACACATAGGCTGAGATGTTTGACTACAACTTATTATATTAATCCTTTCTTGGAGTGGGATGCTGTTGTTCTATGGAAAGTTTTACTATATTAATAATGACATTGTCTCAATATACAATCTATAATATATCTAAGTACATTGAATAGGTATGATTTTTTGTATAAACCTTCAATTAAATATACTCGTCTAACAATGTCACCTTGTATGCTTGTCAGAGATTGGTAAAAATATATATATGTATCCAGTCTCCCAGTGCACAGGATTCAGTGATTAACTTTTAACCTCTGCTGCCAGGCTTTACTTTCAAATACCGGTTATTACACTGTATTTAGAGGACTATTTTCTCATTCCAAGGGAGAACAGAGTTCTGGAAAAATTCTTGACGTGCACCCAAAACACAAGAGAAGTAACTCCAATGTGTCGCACATTACAACACCCAGATTAGGGTAACAAGCCAGGTTACCTGTGAACTATAAACGAAAAGTTAAGGAAGAAACCTCACAGATCCATACAGCCAAACAACAAAGCTGTCAGAGTTGATTCCAGCTCATCTGTTATCTTTATCACAATGCTACATGGTTTATGCTAAATCACAATCCTAAGCCACAACGTTATTTGGGAAATCAATTCCTACAGTTAGGAAATATTTGACTGATTACAGCATCTCCAAGTTCTTATATGCCCTCTTTATCTTTGCACACTACACGAGCATTGCAGAGAGAAAACAAAACAGCAGTCAATACGCTAGCTGCAATATGGCTTCCTATGAGAAGGACAACATTTAATTGGCTTTGATATTTTTCTTTGTCCGGTATGCGTTTCTCTGTGTGTATGTGTGTGAGTGCGCGCACTTTTTCTTCTCTTTTTTTATGGTGCACTTCACTGACATATTTAATAGTCACTCATTTCCATGGCATTTGTTTACCATAACTTACAAAGTCAAACTGGAGGATTATGTTGTATTTACAAACAAGTTGGCACTTACAGAATAAATTACTGATCCCTCTTTATTTTTTATTTCATTTTATTTTCCTTTTTTCTCCTCTTCTTTTTCACCCCAGGGCATCCAGAATTCAGGCAGAATAGTAAAACCTGCTGCCTGCTGCCATTTTGCTACATTAACATGAGTAAATAGGATTCCAGCTGGTACACGCTTTCCCAACGGTTTGCTTGTTGCTGAGAGGCAGTGCCTTCCACCTCAGTTCATGTCCGATGCTCAGGAACTGTTAGTCAAGTGAAAGCAAAGGCTGCATGTTTTCTTCCTCATTCTTATCCATGCGTTTCAGCACCCCAGGATCCACAACCGACTGAGACCTGCAAAGGGATAACACGTTTATTTGACATTTCTAGATCAAGACAAATGAGGGTAAACCTCAGCTTTCTTTTGTTTATTTTAATTTCTGCCAGGGCTTAAAAATAATGGTACAGCATTACCCAAGCATCTGATCACTGCAAATGGTCCGAAAATACCCTCATGGAGTGATTATGTGGCTTTAAAGGACTCGGTGCTGGTTTGTGGATATAGGAGCAAAAGGTAGAGTAAAGTGGATCCTCTTTTCTTCAGTAAAACAGTGAAACAGGGTGCATCCTCAGCAGAGGGCAAACTAAGCTGTCTGGCGTACGGACTTCAGTACTGACTCCTCTACCAGAAGGTTATATGCCACCAGGCTGGTAAAGAAGGTACAATTCAGCCACCCAGCTGGCCAATGGCACACCGCAATTAGTGGCATGTGTTAGCTGGAAGCACAAGTTGCTCCTTTTCTGAACAGCACTTAAATGCAACAGTGTGAGATCCTCAGCCAACCCTCGGGAATCCTGCCATGGCCAGCAGGATTTCTGGAGCAGTGGACACATCTGTCAAACTCACTTATCAGCTCGACTAAACAGAGCAGAGAAGGATGGTAAGGGCCAATTCAATGATGATCGTACAATTTCTCCAGGTTCTCTGATTCAGCACAGAAGCATAACACTGGTACTGGTACCCTGCAACAGCCACGTGTGAGGGAGAAAGAGGAAACCCCAACCTCCAGCAAAATCAAAATGCTCCAGTAAAAACAAAGTCCAAAGTGTTAAGATGGGCTTTTAACATCACCTATGTCTCAGCTTGTCAAAAAGCAGTCACTTCTGGGGTACAGTAGAAGCAACCCTTGTTAGAGGTTTCCTTTAGTGAGATGAATCTCATGCTAGAAATGCTTATTTCTCTTCCTTTCTGTAAAGAAGATTGGAGGTGGCTAGAGCATGTGTACATCTCTATAATGTAGGCACCTATTTTTGATCAGTGAAAGCATACAGTGACTGCAGCATTGCTACAGATTTGCCCGTATGGAGGGCTACAGCACAGAGAAAAACCTTTACAAATTCTGCCCTCTCCTAAGATAAACGTACAGACTGAACCCCCGGCTCTTATAAACTGGCATCATCTGCTGAAACCAATGAACGAGGCTGATAGCAGGACACAATTTGGTTTTTCTCAAAAAATCTAAATGCAACCTTTAAAAACACAAGAAAAAACGTCTGAATTAATTAAAGCCTAGGTGAAAACTTTAAGCACAAGGATATTTTCTAATAATATTTACCACATTCTCTTACTAATGTTAAAACCAAGAAAATTAGCCTTAAAAATCTGATGGTCTCTCTTGTGATAAACATAATTAAAAATTTTTAATTAAAACTGTACAATAACCCTCATCTAGAATGCTGGGCAGTTCCTCAGGCAGAAATCTAAACCACTGAATTAAAACCGCTTTTTTTAAATCTTCACACAGTACCGTGCCAATGCAAAGCTGATTGAAAATTTGCTGGTGGGAAGCTCTACTCCTGGAAAATCCAGTTCATCAAGATAAAAAATGCTGAGGAAGCATACTAATTTCAAAAGATTTCCAACTGAATGTAAGTACTAATAGGAGACTGAGCCTCTTCCTCGGCTGCCGATGTCTGAGCGGCCAAGGTTTCCAGTTCTCATCTGGAGAACTGAAGGGGAGCAGGAAAGGCTGCAAACCTGCCCTCAAATTCCCAGTGAGGCCGTTTTGGCCACCAATTCCCAGGGCCTCCAAACTCCCCGACGCCAAGGCAGATGTGAAAATGGAACTGCACAAATCCTGATCTACGCCTTGGAAGCTCAGGAGCCTAAATGACTTGAAGGAGAAGGATAAATAGTTTTCGTTCAGTTTTAAATCGACATTTACTGTCACGTTTCAGTCCATTCAGCAGTAATTCATGAATGAAGGTATGTAAAAGCAAAAAAAACATTTGTGTAAGGCCATAGCACCTTCTATCTACCTCTCCCAAATAACTTTACAGACACTACTGAATAAATTCTCACAAAACACAGTAGGACAGCGTTGTACTACAAAGTCCCATTGCAGAGGTGAGGAAACGAAGCCACACACAGATACTCGGCAAAGTTGATCAACACAGACCTCTGCCCTGCAGGGCTGGGTGAGAAGATGATGCAGGTCTCTTGGCCATGAGAGCCACGGGTGGACAGAGCCACCGGCTAAACATGACTGCTGAGGCAGTTGCAGCGGTGCCACGTGAAGTGAACATTTCTCCCCAGAGATCTGTACTACAGGTGGGATTAATTCCTCCTGATCTCCACCACCCTCCCCATGATCAACCTTCCTTTCAAGCCGAGGTCATCCCATTCACCAAAAGTTCAAGGAGGTCTGGAGGAATGTCAGTGGTTCATATGGGGGCAAAAATGAGTGACGAAGAAATGAATTCTCAGTAGGATTTTGGTTTAAGAAGGATATTCTTTCAAGGCAATAAACTAATTTTAAAATGGCAAGCCAAATTAAACAAGATAATTGTTGGAGATCTGCTAGACGCTTGTGAAATTTGTTCTAAGAACTTAAGCACTATTCATTGACTTACCGACATGGTTTTTTATATGTTAAAAACCTTCTCCTGTACTAACATACCACACTGAGTGTGGTTTTAAACTGAGAGAAACAATCCATCAGGTGCCAAATTCGAGTTAAATTTAATTTTTAATGAAATAAACTCTATTTGTTTTACCTTAACTTTTCTATTTCTGTTTTAACAAAGTCTGTGCACTTAATACATCAAAGTCCTGGGACTTTCTGTCCATCTTACTACCACCCCCTTCTACTTTGTACTAGCACAGTAAGTCTATGTCGTACTTTTTATATCCAACAGCAGGGAAGGAGGATTCCAGCAGGTGCTGCAGACACATTAACTGAAAAAGAATGCGAAGAAGGTGAAGCAATTTCAGCTCAATATTGTGTAGATACAAATTTCAACATGCTTATTTTCTGCAGTATGTCTCCTACTGTGTCAGCTAACCCGGACTGAAAGAATGTCAATTTGAAGCTGACACCGGAGTGCAATTCTGCATGAAGGATTTTTCAAGCACAAGTTCAATGAGTATAAAAATTCTTCAAGAAAGAATAAAGAAACTGGTCAATCCACTGCTTTTCCACTTAATAATGTGCTTGCCCAGGATTGTCTGGAAAACTCTGCTCCAAAGGGTCTTGTCACAGGCCTTCTCATGGCTTTTTGTTGCATCCTTGGATGAAGCCATTTACTCTCATGACTTCATTTTGCAACAGCAAGACTTCTGCATTTCAGCTCCTAAATTCCACCCTTCTTTCCAAGACAGCTTCTTCTCTATTGTCCCATAATTCTTGTATTACGTGCAAATCATATATAAATGTATTGCTCACTTTTCCCCTTCCCCCGGCTCTTTGCTGTCCCATTTTCTCGATTACTTGTGTTAATTGCATCTTTGTCGTATGGCTTCAGGACCTTTTTTAACTTCCCAGTTCATTCCCATCCAGTCTCTTGTTATTTCCCACTTTCAATGCACTGTAGATTTTTTCCAACACAAAATCCTTAAACTTCATTGCTTTTTTTTCTTTTTTATTCCTATGGCAATCTCCTGTTGTCTCCTCTCTATTTTCTGAAAAATTATCTCCCCTCCAAACTGCACTGTCCTCCCCAATCTATGCAATGTTTTCCAGCCAAACTCATCTTCCTGGCTGAGGAGTCTGAAAATATTTTATCCTGTTTGATCTGCTTCCAGAGTGTCTCTCCCTTTTGTATCAAATGCCATCTCCTGAAACTGAATTTTCAGCTTAGCATATTCTGACTTAATTTTAATGACTTTATACATTGTGTTCTGCCCTGTTTGTTCTCTTCTGATTCATTGCTAGTCCTACCCATTATGAGCTGCACTCTGATTTTTGCTGCGCTGCTCAACCTTTTCTATCACCCTGCTGTAATCTTCCCCCTTTCTCTTCCACTGCCCTGGCAAGGTTGGACCAGGTTTACCTCTCCCAAGTGAATCACCTCACTGCTTCCAGAGTTACTGGAGAGGTAACTAACCTCTTCCTATACTTTATTTTGAATGGTAAAATGCAGCAAGCAATTATACTGTATCTTCTCGAAGAGAAGAATATCAGAAGGCCAGGATGGTTTCCAGACTCGAGTATAACAGTTGGCCCTGATTTTTGTCCTGGTTCTCCTCATTACATTTTCTCATGTTGTGTGCAGTCACTGTGACTGACAGTTCAGATGCTGTAAATGTCCTGGCACCAACAGGCTGGTGGATACCAGGCACTGGGCTATGAGATGGAGGAAGGTAAGAGTTATCATCACCACCCAGCTGGATAATTGGTCCCAATTTACCCTCCGCACTGAGGCTCACTCCAGCTCACACTGTCTCTCTAATACGTTCTGTAGGCTGGGCTGGGATATCAGCTTATTCCAAACACAGTACTCTAGACAGTACTACCTATACGGCACCGCAGAAATAATTAGCTGCACTGAGCTCACAACCCACATGGGTAATAATCAACAATATGGTCTATCATCAACAGTGATCTTCTTAAGAAAGGAAAAAAAAAATGGTCCTTGTAGATAATAAACTGAGGGAAGTACCTGCAGCTTCATGAAAGAGGAGGAAGGCAAATGTTAGCCTTATGGCAATACTAGAAGACCACAGTACCTTTAACCCACCTTTTCATGGATTTGGGAGAGAGATCTTTTTCTATATCCTTTGCAGGAGCGTTGTAGGAGTCCGCATTGCATTCACTGTCATCGTCGTATTCATGGTCAAGCAGTGTTCTTGCCCACGTCCCCATGTCATAGGGAGGCAACATTCCTCCAAACTCTGATGGTAGGATCTCAGGGTGTATTAGCTGATGCAGGCTGTTGAGGTTATTACCATGCAGGAATATCTGTATGTACACATGCAGGTAAAAACAAAGCGGTATCACAAAAATCGTCACAGCCCAAATTACATCATCATTATTAGAGGATATTGTACAGTTTCAATATTCTGGCTGTGGTGGGCTAACAGAGATGGCCACCAAGGCACACATCGCCTCTGCCTTAAGCATGGTCATACTATGTTTATAAACCTACAAAGTGATTAAAGCATAAATGACTTTTAAAATATTTGCAGGACAAAGGGCCTACGGAGGGTAAGAACTGATGTCTGGTAGCTAGGTGGACTGAAGATTAGATAGACAGACTGCCTACCTCTTGTTATTTGCTCTCCCTAATCCTGTGAATTAAATTAAGTGAAAAAATTAAGAACATAAATAATAAATAAAGTTAATATTCACCGTATACATTAAGGAATAGATATTGGCTTCCAGCATCCAGCCATGAGTTCTGTAAATAAGATAAATAGTGCAGTGTAATGAAAACTCCACTGGAAAGATTTTCTTCCTTAATATGGTGGTACTAGTAACTACCACCCGTACTTGACAATTTATGAAGTAAGTAATAATGGGAAACTAATTTCTGTGACAACAATGAGGGAATAGTTGATGGACGGTTTGATATTTTCCATCAATGTTGTGGTAGACTGATTTTCACATATGCTTTGCATTTATATATATGTATATTAATATGACATATAGAATCATAGAATGATAGAATGATTCTATGATTCTATGATGTTGCCTCCCAAGAGCTGTTCCCCACGGGGCAGGCAGGGGTGCGCACACGGACAGACGCCGTGCGCCATCAATTCACATTCCACTTCACCTTGCGGGGACTTCTCCGGACAGCCCTAGCATGATTTATCACGAGTTAAATTCTGAAGGCAGAAAGACAAAAAGACCAAAGATAGGCTTGTCTTGTATTGCTTATTTCAGCCCATATTCCAGTCAGCTGTGGAGAGAGGGAGCTTAATATGACCATGGGAACCCAGTAACGTTCTTCCATCTCAGAAAGGATTTTATCCTTGTTTGAAAGAACAAATATTAATGGCAAAAACAATTTGGTTTATGGTGCTTTTCCAACTCAATGTTTCACTTCTTAGCAATTGTTTCTGTATAGGACCAGTACTACATTTATCTGAATATAGCTATCAGTTCCAAATCTAACAGACATATTAAAAAAATACAAAATAATTCAGGATAAACACAACAGATAAATAACAAGCCTGATAAAATCCTGAAGAGAATTCTGTTGGGTTTGGGGTTTTTTTTCACAGTCATTCATTCTGCCTCTTATGGGTTTTTTTAAAGCTGATTTTAAACTTTATGTGCTGGGCATAACTTTCACATTTTGACACTAAGTTTTGGACTCTAAATTGGTACTTAACCACCTGACTACTTCTTACAGGTATTCAGTATTGACAAAGACAGTTGTAAAAAGTCCGCGTTTCTGAGAATATATGCCACTGATTCAGGTGTCTAAACAAGAATTTAGATGCTAGCTGATAAGCACCCATGTTCAACTGCCTTGTCACTTATTTTTAATGTTGCAACACACCCATGAGCTGTATTTTACTCCCTGGTTATGCATACACAGCACGACTTAAAAAGGCCTCAAACATATCTGGCACTATAATGTTCTTTGTTGAAGCTGTAGTCAAGAGAGTGCAACTGAATCCTGCAAAATGGGTTTTCATTTGCATATTTATAACAGATATTACATAAAAGGCTTTGTGATCTATAGTTCAAAATCTGTGAATACCAGAGGCCTCTGAAGCATAATCTGTCAGTGAAAAACAACTAAACACCAAGGATCATTGTAGCCTTGTAGACTGTGTTTGAGGAGAGAAATACAGAGTTGCTTGGAGAGCTGATCCCATTTAAAAAAAAAAAAAAAAAAAAAAAAAGATCATCACATTCTTTGTGGTGCCTTTGTACATGATGCTGATTGTGTTTTCCTGGATGACAAATTTCCTGTTACAGAAATAATATCGTTCTATGTGCTATCACCACCAAGCTCTAATTTAATTGCACTGATGCAAATGCTGCAAATTCAGCAACATCTCAGAGACTGCTCGGGCTTATGCACAGATGCATGCACACAAATTTCCTTTCATTGGCTTTCATTCAAATCAGTATTTGCAAACTACTATATACCAGCTGTGTATTTTGGTTCATGCTAATGTCAAGGAAATCACACTAGGAAAGGACTTCATACTCACTACCTCTGTTCTTAAAAGAAAGACACAAATAATTTTAACAGAAATTGAATAGGGTTGAATTGAATAGAATCTTAATAGAAACTGTAATGTTGGCAATATTTTTTATATAACCCCCAGGAGAAAGCATATGCTTACATTTTAAAATACATTTAAGTGCACTGCTTGACTGTGTCCTTAAAGGGTAATGCTATATAAGTTTCTAAAACAGTTAAAGATACTCTTTACAATGCAAATGTATTTAAATACTTTCCACCAATAGCAAGCTGATATATTGGGTATATCTGCTTTATTAGAGTATGATACATCTGCTGAGTACAACTGCCAGGTAGTGGACAATTAAACAGAAGAATACCCTTTTTCGTGTCTTCTCCTTCAGAAAGGGACGTATAACTGTGTAGAGGGCATGGATATACCACGGCTGATTGACGAAATGTATTCCTCCAAACCGGGCTGGAAAGCTGTCCTGTATGTCACAAAACGAATACATACAATGAGAGTTGACTCTTAACAGAAGTTGCACATGCATCAAATCTTTTTTTTCTTTTTTTTTAATGCTTTCATTTTAATAATAAACCCTAAAGAAGAAGAAACATTCTTCAAAAATTGTGTTCTCTCATTTGAGTTCCAACCTTCCACACCAAGCTGCAACGCGCCCTGGACAGAGCAGTGAGGAAGCATGCTGAGACAGCTATGGTATTCAAATAAAGGTATGGCATTTCTAACCTCCAGAAATGCTTTAAACATTTATGATTGGCCTATAATCCACTATGCAATATATTTTTTTCTTTTCCACTCCTACAGATTTTACTCATTTTTAATAGTAACCATCTCAGCTCTTCCAGTATCATCGAAGAGCACTAGATATGTCCCTCTTGTTTCCACCTTAAAAAGAAAGTGTAAATCTAAACTACTATTCAAAACATCTCCAATATTATCCATATTTCATAAAACTGAGAATGCATTAAACATTGTGCATAAAGTGTTATGCAATATCCATGGCAGTAATTCTTGTCACATAGTCAGGGGCCTTCTGGGAGATTAAATGTAAGGATACGATATCTGTATTGAAGCAATGACTTTTCTTTTTTCTTGCTGAAAACCACAAGGGGCAGAGAACTCACTAGGAAAGATTCTGATTTGCATTTTCAATTTCTAAGACAAGAGAATATGCCAGAGGGTTTGGCAGTTTGAAGACGGCAGCCACTCTGTGGCTGGAATACTATTGCCAAATTCATCGCGTGTCCTCATCTTTTGTTTGCCAGGTTGATCACAGGCACAAACAATGCAAGAAGCTGCTGCCGTCTCCTATGTTGCCTAGAGTTACAGCACTGAGCAAGGAAGCAAGAGGTGTAAACAGGCTTGTAAATTGAAGCATGTCCCCTTTTGTCTTCATGGGTTATGTCAGAACCTTCTCGGTGTTCAGGTATACAGACTTACTAAATTAATGGCTTTCATTTGAACCCTTATTCAACAGCTGGCCCACTCTAGGCAGCCACGGTAGTCACTTAGAGCAAAATCGGGTTCCTCGCAGCAGCACCAACTCCCATTTGACAGTACGGGTACAAACAGGACATGCTTCCCAGCTACACCTCCTCCTCCTCCTGCTGTGTGGATGCAGTAAAGGCAGCTTCAGGTCTGCGTCGGTGGGATCAGAGGCTCAAAAGGAGGCAATCAAATGGTTAGACAGGGCACTCTCTGCAGAGACATATTTTGCCTCCTTTGGAGATAAGAGAGCAGGCCATATAGAAGCATCCAACAGTCTAGATATAACCCACAAAGCACCATTTGAAGCATACTGATTTAAGGTCATACAGCACACAGCAAAAAAAATGGTCAAGAAAAAAAGCTATAACCACCAACCAAGAACTGTCAGATAAGGAAGGCAGGAACTGTAGGAAGGAAATCTTCCATGAAATGTTTCCAGGTAGGAAAATACTTTGAAAAAGTGCACGTGCGAAGAAACCTCCTCAGTTCCGCGAATATGTACAGACCTGTGGGAATAATGAAGCCTGAAGCACCATCAAAAGTTCCATTCAAATACTGGCAGGCACTCCTAACCCAGCGGGTCTTTACTTCAGGGTGCCACCTGTCTCCAAATCACAACTACCTGGTGGATTACCAGATGAAATATTTTCCATCAAGGAGGCGATGCCTTAACAATAATCTATGGGGAGGATGACAGCTACAGCACACACCACTAACATCTGGCTGGCCACAGCACAACAGTCAATGGAATTAACAGTCTATTTTACAGATTTCCTCCAGAAACATTTGATTAACACCGGCCTTGAAATAAACCCATCCTACTGAAAGGCTGTGCTACAGAAGCCTCGTCTTGCTAAATGCCTAGCTCCTGTCAGCGCTGACTAAATGTCAAACAGGATGGTTGATAATTTGACACGTAATTCACCCTGTTCAATATCGTAAATCCCCAAACACCTTTTTAAGAACACAACCTCTGATATACAAAAGGTAGTAAATTATGTCCCTATCACAGCAATCCAACGAATCCATTAGGAAGGATAAATCACTGGATGACACCTTAACCTTTAGTTGTGGGAGATACTGTTCATCTCCAGAAGGCTGCGGTTATTTGGTTTATCGTGACTGCTGCTCCAGCAAAGAAGTCCGGTGCAGCACGCTGTGTATCATGCACAAAAGAGCATACGGGAGAGCTGCAGAAGACATCTTTTGCTAGTCTCATCTAGATGTCTTTGAAGATATCTTCAGAAGTAACTCTGGAACGGTAACTGGGTTAAGCCTCGTGGGGGTCAAACACTTTTTATAATGTAGGCACCATGGAAGACAGCACACAAAACCAGCCATTCCTGGCTACATGCCTTCTTGCATTATTTTATAAGCTTTTCAGTGAAAACAAGTGCCCCAAAACTTACATACACCAAGTTATGAAATGCTCAAAAAATGTCTCACACAGAAACTGAGGACAATTTGCGAATGAGAAGATCCCAAGAGGCAAACAGCCATGCACACACACAGATGCAGAGCAGAGTGCCAAAGGTATTTGTATTCTACCATGGGCTCAGAATGGATAACTTGTCGATTCTTGGTATTAAATTTCTAGCAAATAAAAGGAGTATCGTTAGAAAATACCACTTTGACACTTCCACCATCTTTTCCTGCATCTCAGAAACCATTTACATGGAGGATCATGAATATATGTGGAACGATCCTCAAAAAGAAGATGCTACTTGATATTAAAAGCCTATTTGTCTCAGTGTTTTTCAGCAATTCTAAAGGCATTTTCCAGGACTGACTAAAGCAGTCAGGTATTTATCAATTTCTGTGACTGAACTGAGGTGCCCAAATTCAGGAGCACTTCCTAAGGTGTAATTAGGAACCGCCAAAATTTGGGCCCTGAAAGAGAAAGGCCGATTTGGTCAGAATGATCCTGCATTGTACACAGTGCTGGGACTGGAATTCAAAAGCTGCTGAATGCAGATCCAAAACCCAAACTCAACAGCACCTGGTGAGAAAATAAAAAAAGCAGAATAAGCAACTACAGCTGCTGGAGAAACAGGTGTCAGAAGGTTGTCTGGCTCTTCTCAGGTGTATCTGACTTCCACATGGGGATTTGCCAGACAGATGGCCATCCTACACAAACAGCAGGTAGGAATTTCTTCCAAATCACTGATTCTTGTGGGGTTTCACGTAGATTAAGTCACAAGCGTGGTGACAGCCACAACTGCCTCTGTAGACATATTGCAGTTCAACAGAAAAGCCTGTAACCCATGAATCACATGAATTCTAAGTAAAAGGAATCCCATGCCAGAAAACAGTAAGAAATGGAGATCAGCCATGAAGTGATCCATGCATTTGACTGGGAGAGTAATAAATCTGATGAAGTATTACCAAACTACTAAAAAGAATGAATTATACGTACACAGCACGTGGATTTTTTCAGCATTCACAATAACCTCTGTTTGTGCAGCAGAACAGAACCTGAGCATGAACACAGTTTGGGACATGGCCACACCGCAGACAGAGGCAAGCAGGTAGTTACGGTTGGGGACCACAGACCGTGTGATACAAGCCTTACAAATGACAATTAATAGTGGGCTGCCAAGGAAGAGGCAGACCCCTACCCTGCTGTTTGCAGGACTGGGTGACTACCAGTGCCCAGCACGTTGGAGAATGATCCCAAGCAACTGCCTCTCCATCTCTGACAACACGGTTCTGCTCACTCACGGCACAGCAGTTTTACCTCTCTGCCACACATAATTCATATCACCTGCCTCCACAATCTTCCTCTCCAAGGACTCAGCTGCTGTTGCCTGCTACCGCCCTTGGAATATGCTACGAAGCCAGGTTTCTACCTGCTGGGCACCACATCCCACCCTGTGCTGGGTTTGGCCATCACCTGAGCCAGCTCTCCAGGTTTCGCAGAGGGTCCTGCTCTCCGCTGTGGCCAGCAGAAACTCTCACAGCACACATAACAGCAAAACTAGCATGCGACATTTTCAACAGTACCTAAGAGAGGAAAGCACCAAATTCCTACTGAAAACCAGTGTGTCTTCTTAGTGGTATCAGAACTGTTATCATAGAGATAATAAAAATGACCCACCTTTTTTCATCGTTACCAAATGCAAAAAAATTAAAGAACTTCTTAAAGCCCACAGCATTCTCCACTCCTTGGGCATTGTGTCTACATTTAAACCTCTGAAGTCTACTTTTAAAGAATTACCCCCTGCAGCTGAAATCAGCACTGGATTCAAATTTGCTTGCACAGCTCTTAGAAGAGCAGTCTTAGAAGCTGCTGGGACCGCTGTGTGCCCAAAGGTACGTTGGCAGCCCAGCCACATCAGGGCCCCACAAGCGTTCTGCACATCACCTCCAAATAGCCCATCTGGACTTTGCCACATACTACCACTGCAAGAGTGCTTGGGCACATATGTTCTGGGCTCACGTTTGAGGGTTTGCTGTCCTTACCAGCAGTGAAACTGTTTTTCCGGACAGTCTAGAGGCATCCTTCAAAGGACTGTCTAGATAAATGCAATGATCATGCTCACACGCTTTACTTTAGGTTGTGCTTGAGTGCTGGGATGAATTCAGCATCTGCAGGCTACAAGAGGCTACAGAGCCAAAACTGTGAAAACTGTATCTTCATAACAAAACTTACAAATTCAAAGACAGCGTATTAAATTATTAATATCTTAAATGTCACTTAAGACTTATTCCTGAAGATAATAAATTCAGGTCTCCTCCAGCTATTCCAAAAAGTCAAGCACTTCAGGGGAAAAAAAAAAATCATTAAAACGAACCAAAATAGTATTTTCATAATGGAAAGCTCCACTAGACAGACACTGAAACATTCTGTCTGATGCAAGATGCAGCACAACTTAACTTAATTTTTAGCACATTAAAGAGGAAACTATGGAAAATCACAGAAAGAAAAGGCTCTGATTAGAAGGAATATTTCACTTCCTTAGTACTCCAAGAGTTGAA